GGGTCCGGGGGGAAAACTGGGCGCGGCCCGCAAACCGGGACCGGGGCCCCGGGCCCCCGTGGGAGCACGACCCCGGGCGCTGCCCCCAGGGGAGGAGGCACGGGGTCCCCGCGTCCCCCATCCCGGCGCCCGGGCTGACCCCCTGCCTCCTCTCCTGGCCCCCAGCCTCTGGCACTCCCCGGAGCTGCTCTCCGACATCCAGGACGGCTACAGCGTCTCAGGGCACCTGCTGGTCTGCTTCTCCTCAGGTAAGGAGCCGGGCAGGGCGATGGCCGCGGCCGCCCCACCGGGCTCTGCCTGCTCCCTCTCCAGCCCGGCACGCTGGCCTGGGATGAGCCCCCGGCTCGGGGCGCGGATGACTCCCCGTGCCCCCTGCCTCCATCACGAGCGCGGAGCCCGCAGGCTGCCAGCCCCCGGGGCCCGGCCGTCTCCCCACGCCCAGCCGGGGCGGAGGCGCTTCCGACGCCTGGAGCACAGTCACGCCACCCTCCTCCTCCTCCTCGCTGCTCCCCCTTACCGCAGCAGGTGACGGTGCACAAGCCAGACCCCCTCAACGCTCTCTCCCTCATCCCGCAGGCTACTTTATCCACGACAGCCTTGACATCATCTTCAACCACCAGTCCCGCTCCTCCTGGGAGTACCTGGTGCACCATGCCATGGTGAGTACAGCCCCAGGGAAGCAAAGGGCAAGCATGGGGGGCTACCACACACCCCGTGCAGGTTCCGCGCGCTGCGGCGGGGCAAGCTGGATCCCCCCCCTCTGCCTCGGCCTGGCTGCACATCAACAAGGCAAGGGCACTCGGCAGGGCAGGATGCCTACCAGCGTCTGCTCTGAGCACCGAGAGCCAGACAGGTTGCCGCACCGGGCGAGAGAAGAGCCGGAGGCTGGTCCCGGCTCCCCACGCAGGGAGGTGTAACTGGTCCCCAGGGAAACTGGCTCTCCAGACTGGTTTTCCCTTGGCCCAGGTGCCTGGGGGGATGCTGGGATCTCTGGGTGGCGAGGAGCAGCACCACATACATCCACACCTTGGCAGGGAAGGACTCACCTCCCCCAGGGCAAGGAGAGCTGACCCTGCTGTGTGTCCCCCCCACTCCCAGGCCATCTCTGCCTTCATCTCACTCATCATCACGGGCCGTTTCCTGGTGGCTGCGATGCTACTGCTGCTGGTGGAGGTGAGCAACATCTTCCTCACCATCCGCATGCTGCTGAAGATGAGCAATGTGCCTTCCCCAGTGCTCTATGAGGCCAACAAGTACGTCAACCTGGTGATGTACTTCGCCTTCCGCCTGGCGCCCCAGGCTTACCTCACCTGGTACTTCCTCCGCTATGTGGAGGTGCAGGGCCAGGGTGCCTTCCTCACCGCCAACCTCCTGCTGCTCGACGCCATGATCCTCATGTACTTCTCCCGCCTCCTCCGCTCCGATTTTTTCCCCTCCCTGCGCAAGGGCTCTGCAGGGAGAGACGTAGATGGTGAGAAGTTTCTGATAGACTGAGACGTGTGCGCCAAGGGGGACCCGGGCTCTGGCTCCTGGAGGTCTTGGCCTCTCCAAACCTGCTCTGATGTGCCTTAGGGCTCATTCCCTGGCCCCGGGCCCTGCCTTCACCCGCTCTGCTGCCTAAAAGCACTTCCCTGCTGGACCAGCCCAACAGCCTCGCCGAACCGCAGGGATGCCACCGAAGCCACAGGCACAGCCGATGGAAAAGCAGCCCAAGCCGGCTTCTGCACAGGCAGCTGGAGGGCCAGGGCTGGCCATGTTTCACAGCTGATGGCCTGAGAGGGTTGCAAGGGAAGGGACGAGTCCCTCCCATGGTGATGTTGGGTGTTATGTGCATTAAAATTGGCCTGTTTACTGCTGCCGCAGCACACCAGGGCTGGCTTTTCTGTGGGGCAAAGCAGTGTTGGGGGAGGATAAGGGGGACAATGCCATGGGAAAGGACGTGCCCCTGTTCCCAGCGGAGGGATGGCAGTCCTCAGGGAGGGAGATGGCACGTTTCTGCCACTCGCTTTGTTCCAGGGATGCGCTCAAGCCTGCTGGGTCCTACCAGCCCAGCTGCACCACGCTGAGCCTTGAATAGCAAGACCCCATCCCTCCCACAGATGGGTCCCTCTCCTCCTCCTCACTCTCCTGCTCTTCCAGAGACCCAGGGCTGTGCAGGGAGCAGGGAAAGGGAGCCAGGATAGGTACCGAGCCTTGCTGCAGTCCTTGACCTGCCTGTCTCTGGCCTGGCGGCAAGGAGCCTGGCTGGGCTGCATGACTCACCCGGCAGCCACGTGAAGTGGAGCTGGCATGGGAAAGCCGTGTGAGGCCACAGGCTCTTCCTGGAAGACTGCTGCATGCTCGCATCCCCCTGGAGCGATCTTCACTGGCACCATGCAGCTCCAGACCCCTGCGAGCATGCTGGGCCCTCTCCTGCAGCAGCCCCCCCAGAGCGGCAGGAGGAGAGAGGGGGGTCAGCTCACTGGGGGAGCAGGGCCAGAACCAGCCCAGCCAGTCCTGAGGAGCACCAGAGCATCAGGAAGGCAAATCCTGCTGACGTGATGGCTCTGGGATTGCACCAGACTGGCCTAGAGTAGTGGGGTTTAGAGGGACTCCTAGCCCAGCTGCGGCAGAGACAGGTACTGCAGCTGAAATAAGCCGGTGATTAGTTGGAAACACCCCACAGGGCTGGGATCCTGGCAGGGTTCCTGGTGTGCACTGATGCCATGGTGGGTGCAGGGGGCACTTGCTGGGAACAGCCTGGCAGCTGGAGCGGAGATGTGATATTTGGGACGCAGTGTGGGCAGGGACCTACACCAGCTTCAAACCCACCGCCTTGCCCCCTCCTCGCTCAAAGCGGAGCTCAGCAGCTCCGCACCGAGCTGCAGGGAGCCCATTTAGGGCACAGCCTTACCCTCAGCAGCACATCCCAACAGCTACGCATCTTCCCAGCTGCAGCTTAAGCCCCATGGCCTCTGTGCACTGACTCCATCTGCAAATACCCCACAATCAAGCCCAAATCTTAGTTTCCCCTCACCTCAATTGCTGCACCTTTCTCCATGTCCCCAGACATAGCTCTGCCCCAGCAGGTCACAGGCTCAGGGGACCAGCCCACGCTTCCACCGCCCTTCCAGCAGGGTGGAAGGGTCAGGCATGACAAAGCTTCCCAAAGCAGGGAGCCTGGCTCCCCCCCGCTGCCCTCCTGCCTTCCAGCTGGAGCATCTCCCAGCAGCATGGTGCTGGCCGGGCTGGGGCAGCTGTGGGTCAGGCCAGCTGCCAGCCTGGAGCAAGAGGCAAGCGCAGGGAAGCAAAGCGCAGCAGTTGCTGGGCTAAGTTGAGACAGGGTCAGGGCAGACTGCAAGTGATGCTGATGTGAAATCCCTCCCCAGCCTCCATGCTGCAGCACTTACCCGCACAGAGCCCCTGCTGCTGCTGCTCCCCTTCCCTGGCTGCGCCCAGGCCCAGCACAGGGGGCTGGGTTGGTGCCCTCTAACCCGCAGGCCAGCGGGATCAGACCCAGCCCCAGGAGGGAGCAGGGCTGCCCCAGCTCCTCACACCACCGTACTCCCAGCGGCAGGGCTATGTCACAGGCAGGGAAGGCGGCCTGTTGTTCAGCCTGACCTGGCCCAGCACAGCTTGCCAACAGCCCTTGCTCTCTGAGTTTCAAGCCCCTGACCCGGGCTGGGGCGCGGGGCAACAGCCTGAGTGCGCCCTCCCATCGCAGGGAGATGCAGCGGTGCTTCCCCAGCACCCGGAGCTGCAAGTGCCAGGCAAAGTCTCACCCCGAGGGCCACACAACCCAGTGCACATCTTTACCCACAGTCCCGAGAGCAGCGGCAGCTGGGACAGCTCCCCCTTTCCATCTACCACCACCCTTCTGCATTCAAACCACCGCCCCGGGACTCCGCCACCCTTGGGCAAGAGGCTGGAAGGAACTCAGTGTCCCGCTGCCCAAGAGCTCGATTACCCCCGTCAGTATTTAGTCACGGCTTTCCCCATCTCGCTCAAGCGTAACTGCATACTTAACATCAAGTACCCCTAAAGGCTTATCCATACTTCACCTCCATTCCCTGCTCGCCCAGCACTCCACTCTCATGACTCTCCCAAGTGCTCTGAAAAGCCGGTTTCATCTACAAATTTGAGGAAGCAAGACTGCTGAGGCGGCAACAGCAGCTAGTTTGGAAACAGCCCTGATGAGGGCCATGAACCCCATGAGGTTACAGGCAACCTAACAGGAACAGCGTCAGGGAAACCAGGCTGTGATTCCCACACTGCAGCATGGGGAGTTTGGAAAACAACAACAAAAAAAAGCCACACAAAGCCCCTACGATGGCATTGGCTTGAGGGCTTCATCAAGTGAAGGTTGCAGCATAAGCAAATAGCTGATACACTCGGAAAACGGTGCGACACCCCGCTCATGCCAGGCCTGAACAATAAACAGGTTTTTGTTGCGGTTACTACCTACGCCCTGGGCACTCCTCAGCCTCTGGTACGCTCCAGAGGGAAGCTATGTAGGACACCAGAACAGAGATCATGAACACATGCTAATTACACAAGGCAACAAAATGCAGGAGGGTACCAGAGGTCTCAGGTAAACAGATATTTGAGATTCGGGGCAGCGTCAGCTCGTGTTTACCGACAGCCGAGAGAGCAGGTCAGTGATCCAGGAAACCCCAGGGTGGGACTCTCGAAGCAGCCAGCTCTGCCCACCTATCACCAGGCTACAGCCGGAGGGAGGGAGGGAGGAGCCCCTTTTACTGAAATGAAGCCCCAAAAGTTTCCCGGGCGCTCTTTCGCACAGGCCATGCTGTCACAAAACACAAGAGCCCCTCAGTGGTGTCACAGGGTTTATTATCCTGTCTGTACAGTCCTTGGCAGATGCAGTTTAGATGATTCCAATCTGGAAAGGAGCAAAGCATGTTAAAACAGATGTTACAGCGGCAGAAAGGCAGAGCCTCCACCACAGAAGTCACTGCCAGGGCTGCATCTCCCTGGGATTCCTGTCCCCCAAGGACAGGCTTCTTCCTCCCAGACCTGCCCAAGTGCCTTACACAACCGCTTTAAACATTTACTGCACCGTGACCCCGTGCTAATCCACACCCGCATCCCCCTGCTCCAGAACATTCCCCCACTGCCTCCTGTTGACCTTGACCACACCGAGGACTGAAGTGCCTGCCACTTCCAGCCCCCTGCCCGGCAGAAACCCCTCCTCCCAGGCCGGCAGTGCAGCAGTGCCCCTGCCCTAATGGTGCCCCTGGCATCATTTCCCCCTGTTAAATGAGCTGCCAACAGCACTGGCCAAGAACGCTGTTAGGACAAATGCTGCGTCAACCTAGAAGCTGCAGGGCAGTTTCTGCATCCTCCCCACTAATACTCTGGAGCTCTTGTGGTCCTGTGGAGCGGAGCCTCTCCCTGGAGGAGTTGAGGAACAGCAGCAAGTCTCTCTCAGTAACTTTTCCCACCTAACCTCACGATCTTCCAGGCAAAATTGCATTTTGCCAGATGATGTGATCTTGCTTCTGAACACCAAGATCCTGTCTAACTACATGGACACTCCAAAGAAGTGCCACCGTGCTTGAAGCACAAGTACCTCACCTGTACGCCAGGACAAACAACCGGGCACAGGAGATACAAGACAGCAGGAGCTGCCCAGTTTCAAAGATTTCTCACCTTGTTGGCTACATCCAGCGCATCGTAATCCGGAGCCAGTCGGACATAAGCCTTCTTCTCCCCATCAGGCCTAGGAGGAACAGGAGGCATCAGTACAGAGGCGCACAACTCCTCCCACCTGCTCCACGTTCCTGCTATAGCAGTGTGCATCAGTGGTTCCTTTGGAAACATCACTTTACTCAGTGGTAAAAAACGTTCACATCATTTGCACAAGACATTAGAAGAGCTCCCTGATGAAGCCAATCCTCTGGTCTGCCAACACTCCCCACTGCCACTAAGATATGCTCAGTCACAAGTTGCATTTCTCAAAACTTTAACACTGAAAATGCCATGGAGGTTAATCCCACACCTCCTGAGAGTACCCACAACTGCTGAAACTCACACGTGTTCCCACTTTCTGCTAAAAGCCACCCCAGGCTCTTGAGGCATCTCACACCCACCAGTGACCTACTTTCCCCCTCTGCTCACCTAATCAATGTGTTGACCTTGGCCACATCGATATCATACAGCTTCTTGACAGCCTGTTTGATCTGGTGCTTGTTTGCCTTGACATCGACGATGAAAACCAGAGTATTGTTATCCTCAATCTTCTTCATTGCCGACTCTGTGGTCAAAGGGAACTTGATGATGGCGTAATGGTCCAGCCTGCAGGAGAGACCCTGCGGTTAGCAGAAGGCTGGCAGATACTGCCTCTGCACTTCAGCAGCTTTCAAATACCACAGGTGCCATCTAAGAAAGTTTGGGGTGCATCAGTTGCCAAAAAAAGTTCTAATCACAAACTCTCAGGCTTTGGTCGCTTGAAATCATCACCTGCACCTCAAGTGACCACCGCTTTGTCACCAAGCTGTGGCTCAGCTCCCTGGCAGCACGCTGGCAAGGTCTCACCCTGGGACCTGCAGCAGAGCACAGGTCCCCACACCAGCCCACACACGGGGCTGCTCCCACCCCGCAAGCCCCGCAGCAGGGCAGAGCCCAACACCCCACACGTACTTGTTTCTCCGTGGGGCGCTCTTCC